TTCTAAAGCTAAAGAAATTTTTACTATTAGCTATTATACTTCACTCTTGTATTTTCCAAGCTCTGGTTGAGAGCTCAGAAATGTCTGTTTTCTTTGTTGTTTTTTTCCTGTCCTTTTTCAACAATCTCAACTTGTTTCTGTTAAACATTTTTGATTCTTTAGTTCCCAAATTACACCTGGAAATGGTATACAGACAGATCAATCTAAACAGAAATTTATTTCACCTATTCCTTTCAAATTCAATCTTGATTAAGTATTAATAATGTTAATGTTAATAAAAAATACTGTAATTTTTCATAAACACAATTCTTCGAAGATTTGAAAAGGGATTTTTTTAGTTGAACTAAAGAAGCTGCTATTTCCCTACTTAAAAATAACATAAGCGACATGATTTTTTATTTTTAATCACAATAGAGGCCAACATCCTTCCTAGAAGAGGTCCTATATATTCCTAATCAGTATGAGAACACTGCAGATGGTTAACTTGATTAGATTTGTGCTCTCTGAATATTAATAAGATTATTTAGGAACAGTACTACACTCATTTTCCAGCACAATACCCATATGAGAATTTTCTACATGTAAAGATCTATATTTAGCATCTGTCTATGCCTCCTATGGACACATAAAGGAAGGGAAGGTCATGGAAAATTCTGTGGCCCTCTGCGAAAGCAAGGATTTGCAGTAAAATTAAAGGGAAAGCTAACAGCCATATTCATGCCAAACAGCCCACATACGTAGTTCCCCACAAAATCCCTTCAGAAGTTCCACAAATGTTATCCTACTGACACCAAAGATGTGGTCCACAGACTTCTGGGCACCACCAAGGAACACTGTCAAGAAGTACTGGCAGAGAAGAACAGAGTTAAGGTTCTAAGAAGAAAAATGAAGCAAGGCTTGCTGGGAAATGTCTTAATGAAACTAAGCAAGTCATCTCTCATTTAGGTGCTCGGGGAAGCAAACATGCAAAAAAAAAGTTATTTTCCAATATTAATTTTGTCAGCAAATATGCAGTCTGAACAGTCTTTTCGCACTAATTTTGCGGAAACAAAATAATCCAACATTGAATATTCCAAGTCTCAAAATCAACTGTTCATTGATAGTTAAAATATGTAAAGGTGTTATTGCTCCAAAAGTAATCTCATTCCTTGTTTTAATCTTTTTATAAGGGGAATTTTATCAGTTTCTTGAGGATTCAAACAGAATATGAAGTTTGAAAGTTTCTTAAAATGGTGAGCTAAAATATGAATAATCCCAGTAATTCTTAATTCATATATATGATATGTTTACTTTGATTTTTTCCGTTGATATTCATTCTGACCTATATTTCATAAACCCAAATGAAAACATTTGGCTCTCAGAAATGACAAATGCTGTAGTAATACTAGCAGTCTAAGCATTAAAATTATGGTTTTATTTAAGCTTTATATCCAAAATCTGTTCCTGAGCTTGCCACAGCTTTGAAATCGTTCCTCAGTACACCAGCAACCAATACCTACACATAATTTTTAAAAACCTCATGAAAACACTCACCTTGCTGTCTCCCTCCACTCTGCATCCTCTCCTTCACGCCAACAAATTTCATCAAGCTCAGTAAAGAGATCATGAGGAATGTGTTCCTCGTCATCATCTTCTGTTCCAAGAATAAACTGCACCCTTTGTGATGGGGTATCTGGGGAAAGATAAAAATACCAAGTCCAGAACACCAATTTTTTTGCCCTGAGCAAGCAAGTATCTAAAATTTCATGAGATTACCCAGACTTTTTCATCCATATCATTTACTGCCACACAGAAAATGTGATTATAGTTATGTTGTAAGAACATTTATACACAAACACCTTCAGATTGAGACTTCTTTATTTACTGTAGTTGTCTAGTCTGCTAATTAAACAAATTCATCTAAAGATAGAATGTGATGTACAGAAGTAGTGACTATTGGAAGCTGGAATAGTATCTCACAGAAAAAAGGCAGCACAGAAAGTAGCATAGATAGAGCTGATACAAGTCTTTCACTCCAGTGTTACAAAAACCACTTTGCCACATCCTAAGTCTAAATCTACAGATCTAGCTCAGGTCACAAAGTTGGTGTACTAAATGTGATTCTTTGTTTTACCTAGCAGGAGAAAGCAAGAAAAAGAAACCTCTCTAATGTCAATATACAACTGGGAACTTTGAAAAGAATACGTCACTATCTACACCAACCATCCTCTGCCCCTTTGTAAACTGTTTCTACATGGTTAGGCTGTTCAGATGAGCAAGTTGTTTACCTGTCCCAACTTCCCCATTTTATTCCTCTGGCCTCTGCCTTCCCTTTACAGTCCTATTACCAGTTATTTTGCTTCATAACCTTTCAGTGCAGACCACTAAATACATTTTGGAGACATACTATTCTTTTTTCATATCACTCAGAAAATTTCCAGAACTCACAGAACACCTTAACGTACATGTATATTCAGTGTTCATAGCTCCTATGTTTTAAGTCTTTTAAAGAAAAAAAAAAAAATCCTATTTGCTTATTTAAATGCAAATCTCAAATGAACAAACTCTGGACAAAACCCAGTCTCTCTAGAAATACACAGTTATGTTTTCTACTAATGTATTTTAGATTTCTGAGAGGAACCAAAAGTCCTTTGTGAGAGCTGATAGGGGCCAGGCTGGCAGTCAACCGAAAAATTGATTATCCAGCAGAACAGCTCAGCGATTCTTTGAAGATCGTCTAAATGAAGTTCTGTTCTACAACCATATTTATAAGACAGGCTACAGTATTTTCCATCTAGGAGTGAAGAGCATCACTGCATAGGAACCTCAAGCTCTCTGAATTTTGGAAAAACTGAGATGATAGCGCTCACTGAATGCTAGTTAAAGAGCAAATACAGCACTGACCAAAAATAATTAAATGGGCCACTGATACAAGAGATTAAATTCAGCAGTAAAGATACTTTTTTGGTAGTAGTTAACTTGCTATAGCAATGAAACACAAATGATACATGACAGTTTTCACTTGAGGTCTATTTGCTTAAACAGAGTGTAAAGATATAGTATGGTCCAGCCTACTTACTCCTTCACAAAGCAAGGAAATGAAACCCAAGAAGTTTGGGAGAGGAGGGAGACAGAGAAGGGCTCAGGTACTACCAAGCTCTAGTGAATGGAACTGCAGGGGGACAGCTAAGGTGACAGAAATTACTTTTGGTGAATCATTGAAGAACAACAACAACCTCCTCCACTTTACCCTTTCTTTTATTACTCTTCCCCCTCACTGTTCAGTCCTCTTTTTTTCTTTTAAGACTATTTCAACCTCTGTTCTAGACCCCCTTCCAGCCTCTCTCTACCTACTTTTTTTTTTTAATTCTTTATGTTCCTCATATCCACATGTTGGTACGTTCTAGAGAAGGATAAAGTAAACACAAGCATGAAGATTTAATCTGAGACTAGAAAGTACATTCTGGTCAAGAAGTGTGCAACTTGTTAAGAATATTTCCCAGAAGGGCAAAATTCAGCAAGATATGAACTTGCAAAGAACAAGCGCATATGACTAGTGACCGAACATGGGAAACAAGCTACTTTGGTAGAGAGATGGACTGCAGTGAGAATCTGAGAATAAGCACTGCCAAGAATATCTGGTATTCTTGATAAAATCAGCACTAGAACTGACTTACAGCAACAGCTACTGTTAAGTAATAAACAAGTAGTGTTGTACAGCAGAGCTGCAGTTTTATGACAGTTATGATACTCATGCAAATGCGCGCTTTCAGCATGGGAAGGAAAGCAGAGGATCAGCAATCCCTTGAAGTCAGGTGAGTAGTAACAAGGAAACACCTTACTGCTGTGATTTGCTCTTACTGGGTCTTCTGTGTAATATACAGCTACTTGACTGACAACAGTGAAGAATCTGTATAAATGACAAAACATGCACTAAATTCCCTTCTTCCTTGTTAACACACCAGTAAAACTAGCTGCTAGATTCTGGCTCTTTTTTGCTGCGGTAATTTGTATTGGTGCCTGAAACCTGCAAGCCACACCTTGATTTTCAGACACAAAGCTGGAAACTGGAAAAAAAAAATTACTATTTGCCTCATAGTACAGTAATTTTATTTCAAGGACAAAAACCTTAAGAGAATTAAACAATAGGAACACAGTAAAATTAGAAAAAAAAAAATCAGATCTGTTGGTTCTACTTATAAAAGTGAGTTAAAAGCATTACTCATGTGAGCAATGCCAGATGGATTTGGCTCTTATTCACAGGAGTAATAAATACCAAATATGTCATTAATGTGTTATATGGAAAATGAGTAATATGTGATTCAAAAACAGCATGAAAGAATACTTCAATTGCTGACTGTCAAACTGTGATAACTTAATCCTCAGTGTAGAAGCATAATATTTGCAAACTAGAACACTCAAATTTTTTTGAAGTCTAGGAAAACAGGAATTGGTCTGAATATTATTTGTGTCTATCCCTACTTCAAGGAGTACAGCCAGTGTAAAAAAAAATCCTTCATATTATTATCCATATTATTATTGCTATTTCTAAGAAGTAATGGAAGGAATCTAGATTAAGCTAAAAAATTAAACGAATGGGACCAGTTTGTTACATTAGTATTTCTATCACTGCAGTTGTTTGATATCAGAGCACAGAGATATTAGAAGCAATGTGAATTTAAAGTTCCACAATAAGCAGCTGATGATTCTCCCAAGTAAATGGCTCATCACCAGCTCAGGAAATCCTCCAGGACCAGCTGGGACTGGGCAGAAAGTCTGGTACATGACAGGAGCAGGAGTACCATCAACCCGTGCTCGGCTAATGAGCCATCTCAGGAGAAGTCGAATCAGCCTTCTGTTTGCTGTGGCTCCACCAGCCCATGGAAGCCTTCTGTCAGACTCGGTGTTATACCTGGGTTTCCCTGGGCTTGTGCTTACATCATCTGTGCAGCACTCACACAGACATCCAAACTACCTCTGATATCTCAAATTCATTGCATGCATGGAAAACCTGACCATTCCAGGTTTAAAAATCTGTATAACTCCTCTGCACCGTTAAAAGGGTAAAAATTAAGACCTGGTGGATATACTGTTTTTGAAAGCACAAATTCACACTAGGATTCAGAGCTGCAGAAAGGAAGTGACCCTGCAGCAACCTGAGATACTGCTCACTACTCTGACTCTTTGTAAAGTCATTAACATCCCTAAAACAAAAGCAAGATATGGGCATAGACATGGCAAAACAGCAGAACTGAAAGCCAGAACTGCTAATAACCTAATTCCCAGAGAGCAACAAAAAAAGCTGCTCCCTGGAACAGTGCTGAATGGAGGCAGGGGGGAACGGTGGCCTACATCACCATCCCACCTTACAAAACACATGTAGGAAAGAACCGTAACTGGCATTTCCCCCATTTAAAACATCCCCAAGCGCAACCACAATTCTGGGTCAGGACTGCTCCCTCTTGCCTAAGGGAAGAAGGTGAAATCAAGACTTGGGCTGGGATAAGAAAGCAGGATCGTTCTCAGCCCCTCCACATAAATTCAGCCCAGCAAACAACCTGCTCCACTGCATCGCAGCTCCTTCTCAGTGCGTGCTAGGATTTCTCCTGAGACAAACCACCCTGCCATCAGGCAGAACCGCACGCAATCTGCCCAAGCCATACCACAAGCAGAAACACAGCCTTGGGTACGTATAAAATGTACTTGTCCTCTGCTCTTGATAAATTCTAGAAAGGGTGTAAAAATGTATTTTAACACTCTATTAGCTCAATTGTCAGAACAGGTTTCTGTATTTCTAAGCCTGTTGAGAACCTGCGTTTGAGGGTAGTATTAGTAGGCTAATACTTCTTATTGGGATCAGTAGATATAGGGGCAAAAAATTACTTTTTCTGCATTAGAAAACAGGCTAAACATTAAAATAAAATTTACATTGCAGAAGTTCACATAAGATAGTAAGCATCATAGACAAGTTTTAATCCATGCCTCATGCTCTTGTACATTCACATTAAAGTAATATTAAATATACAAACTTTTTTTTTTTGATTGCTCACTGCACAGGACAGGCTGCAGGCAGGGAGTGAACTTGTGAAACACAGTTGACATCTGTAACAACTCCTTTCAAACAAAGGGGAAATGGTGGGAAAAATTCAAAGGATCACAGAAAAGAAAGGATCTTTTCACACACAGACAAACATCCATCATCCTCCTACTCGTGCTCACCAAGGAAGTGGTGAACGGGGGCTCTCCTCCCATCTCTTTCCTGTGCACATTGGACTTTGCCCTTCAGCTCAGCCATCAGTAAAGGCAGGGATCATAAATCACTTTTTTTTTTTTTTAATTAGAAAACATAGTAAAAATTAAAACAAAATTTACATGACTAAAGTGCACATGAAATAGTAAACAGCCATACAGCATATTTCTGAAAATCTCTTCACAGACCTTAGAAACCATATGTTAAGTTGGGAGAAAGTATTCCCTTGCTTGCTCCTCTGGCACTTTATCCCTATACGTATAATCTTGTTTTCAGGAAGCGCTCTCTGCATTTTCTTCACATGAATTGTTTCCATCACCTCAGGGCTATGAAGAATAATCTTATCTTTTGGATCTGACAATATGGACAATTCCCAAGCTTCAATTATCTTCTTTTTGCTAGACTCTTAAAACTGCAGTTATGATACATTATTTTAATCCAGA